AAATAGCAAAAAAATCATGGGTTATAGCTCATGAAATCCTAAACTTTTGTCTCAACTATATTATTTGCCAATGAGTTTATATGAATAAAAATAAAAAAATTTGTGAGTTATAGCTCATAAAATAGTTAATTTTGGACTCCACAAAATTATTTGTCAAATAATAAAAAATCATGGGCTATAGCTCATGAAATAGAGAATTTTCACATCTACAGAATTATTTGCAAATGGATAGAAATGACTAAAAATTATCAAAAATAATGGATTATAGCTCTTGAAATCATGAATTTCGGGCTATATAAAATTATTTGCAATGGATCAGAATGACTAAAAATGAACAAAAAACATGGGATATAGCTTATAAACTTGTGAATTTTGGATTCCACAAAATTATTTATCAATAGGTTGAAATGAACAAATGTAGCAAAAAACAGTTATAACTTGTGAAATCGTGAATTTGACCATGGCGAAATTATTTTCCAGTAGGTTGAAATGGCTAAAAATTGTGGGTTTTGGCTCAAAATTGTTTGGACCACTCAAAATTATCTGCTAATAGATCTAAACAAGTTAAAATGGTCAAAAATCCATGGGTTATAGATGAAATTGTGAATTTTGGACTCTACAAAATATTTGTCTTTGGGCCGAAATAACTTAAAATGGCCAAAAATTATGTGTTATAGTTCACAAAATCATGAATTTTGGTCGTCATGAAATTATTTGCAAATTGGTTGTAAAGACTAAAAATGTTAAAAAAATGATGGTTTATAGCTCGTGAAATCGTGAATTTTGACCACCACGAAATTATTTGCAAATATAAAAATGATCAAAAATGATGGTTTACCTAATAAAATCATGAATTTTGGATTACGAAATTATTTGTCCTTAGGTCGAAATGAATAAAAACTGCAAAAAATCACGGGTTATATAACTCATGAATTGGTGAATTTTAGATTCTGCGAAATAGTTTATCAATGGTTCTGATAGAATTAAAATGGTAAAAAATCATAGGTTATGGCTCATGAAATCATGAATTTTGGACTGCTCTAAATTATTTACAATTATAAAGAAATAATAAAAAATCATGAATTATAGCTCACAAAATCCTAAACCTGTGTTTCGGCAAAATTATTTATCAATGGGTCAAAATGAATCAAAATGACCAAATTCGTATATTATAGCTTATGAAAAACATAGTCATTTATCATTCGGTTGAAAAAAAAACTGTGTGCTCATGAAATCTTGAGCTTTAAACCTCGCAAAGAAGGTTTTAAATGTCAGATGTTGGGTTCATGTCGGACAAGTAAAATTCATATCGGACAGCTAAAATTCATGTTGGATAGCAAAAATCGGGGACATGTCAGGGGCCATATACTAAATACAGATTGTCATATTGGATGGATTTTTATTCAATTTTGGTCACCAAGATGGAATGCACTTGTTTTGTTATAGCCTATCCTACTTGAGTTGAGTATTCATCATCAAGACATGAGTTGTTTTTCATTTCTTGAAGGGAAACATTAAAATATTATGCCAACAAATAAATAAAATACACTTTATCAAACTAGGACTTTCGAAGTATCTTGCATAAAATTAACATGAAGTAAAGTGTCTTGCATAAAATTGACATAAAGTATTAAGACTTTGAATTGATTTCAAGCTACTGTTCGAACTTATTGTTTACAGCACGCTTTTATGAATTCTTAATTTCAATTTGTAGAGACGAAAACGAACGAGAGGAGATCGCGACGGGAAAGAGAGCAATATTTTTTTTATTTGCCCTAATCTGTATTATATGTTATCGGGTTACTATGGAACAAAAGGTTAAAAAAAGAATTAATCAGGTTAGACTTTTGAGTATTAAACCCAAACCCCAATACTTATCAACAAAAAAAAATAAAAAATAAAAAAATCGGCCAATTTTTAATTTTTTTAGGGCTGAAAATCGGCCAATATATCCGCAATATCCCTCGATATATCTGACATGGGCCTCGAAAATGATATCCGAATTTGAAATGGTCATATCATGTCGCTCCAGCATCTGATCTGACATGTCGGCCGACCATGCCCGCAAAGTTTTTGTCATTGGGTCAAACTAATTGAAAATAGACAAAAATCATAAGACTATAGCTAATGAAATCGTGAATTTTAAGTATCGCATAATTATTTGTTTTTAGGTTGAAATGAATAAAATTGACCAAAAATCGAAGGTTATAGCTCATGAAATTGTGAATTTTAAACTCTAAAGATATTATGTGCCACTGGGTCAAAACAAGGGAGAATGGACAAAGGCTATGGATTATTACGAAATCAGTAATTTTGAACTCTACATAATTATTTATCATTTGGTCCAAATGAACAAAATCGAAGAAAAATCGTAGGTGTAGCTAATGAAATCATAAATTTTGCATTCCACATAATGTTTCACTTCTTGGTCCAAAACGAACATAAATGATCAAAATTCATTGGTTATTTCTCAAGAAATCTTGATTTTAAACTCGAGTAAATATTTGTCATTGGGTCAAAATAATTGCAAATGGATAAAAAGTCGAGCATTATAGCTAATGAGATTGTGAAATTTTGACTCTACATAATCATTATTCAATTGGTTGAAACGAATAAAAGTAAACAAAAATCATGAGTTATTGTTCATGAAAATTATGAATTTTGAAATCCATTTAATTGTTGCCTATCAGACTGAAATGAATGAAAATGGAAAAAAGTCATTGGTTATTGTTCACAAAATTTTAAATATTGAATTCCGCATAATTATTTGGCAATAGGTCGAAATGGACAAAATTGATCAAAAATTGATAGTTATCGCTCATGAAATTATGAATTTTAGACTCAGCAAAATTATTTGCCAACGAGTCAAAATGAATAAAAATAGCCAAACGAGGATTATAGTGAATTTGGACTACACAAAATTATTTGTCAGTTGTTTGAAACGAATAAAAATGACCAAAAATCATCGGTTAGCTCATGTCAAAAAATTTTGACCTTTGAAAATTATTTGCCAATGGTTGCAAACAACTAAAAATGGCCAAAAATCATGAATTATATATCAATGGGTCATAATGACTAAAAATAGCCAAAAATCATGGGATACAGCTCATGAAGACTCCACAAAATTATTTACTACCTAGGTCGAAATGAATATAAGTGACAAAAAAATCATGGGATATAGCTCATGAAATGTGAATATTGGTCGTGGCAAAATTATTTGCCAATAGCTTGGAATGGCTAAAAATAGCAAAAACTTATGGGATTTTGCTCATGCAATCGTAAATTTTGAACTCCTCAAAATAAATTTTCAGTAGATTGAAACGAGTTAAAATGGCGAAAAATCATGAGTTATAACTCATGAAATCGCAAATTTTGGACTTCGCAAAATATTTGCCATTAGGTCAAACAACTAAAAATGACAAAAAATAATGGGTTATAGCTCATGAAATTATGAATTTTGGCTACCGTGAAATTATTTCCAAATGGGCCATAACGACTAAAAATAACAAAAGATCGTGGTTAATGATTCATGAAATCGTGAAATTTTGGACTGCACTAAATTATTTGCCTTGGGATCAAAACAAATAAAATTGGCAAAAAAGATCATAGGTTATAGGTTCTTGAGAATTCTAGTCGATGGAGCCACAATTTCTAGAATTATTGTGCATAGGGACTTATCGTAAGGTGATTGGATTACGATAGCAACTACATGATCTCCATCTGTTGTCATTCTATCATACCAAGGTTACGCAAGGTTAGAATTAATATAAATAAAATTATAACACTCAACCTGAGAGGGCATGTTAGAATATAAAAGTATAAACCTCTAGCTGTGACACCAAAACTTTGAAGTTGTGGTGAGGGTTAAAGGTTATAGTTTTATGTTCTAACACATAACATAAAGCTACGCAAGGGATCACATTTTTTAGAATTGCAACCTGTTTTGTTTTCTTCTTCTTTTTCTCTACTCAAGGGATCACATTTTTTAGAATTGCAACCTGTTTTGCTTTCTTCTTCTTTTTCTTTAATTCCCTCATATTATATATTATATATATATATATATATATATATATATAATATATATATATATATTATATATATATTATAAGAGAGAGAGAGAGAGGAGAGAGAGAAATATGGAGAAACTTGGTACCAAGTTCTTGCATTGAACTTGGTAGTGAGGTGGCCAATCACCCCCCTACATCACACCTTGAAAATGGAGCCTCTTTTTAAAAGTAGGTGAATAGTGATGAGGCTCTCTCTTCAAGGTGTGATGTAGGGTGGGGATTTGGCCACCTCACTACCAAGTTCAATGAAGAAACTTGGTACCAAGTTTCTCCATCTCTTCTATATATTATATATATATATATATATATATATATATATATATATATATATATATATATATATAAGACAGGACTATTTTAGTTAGAGACCTTTCAGTAGTGATAGCTAGGGTTTGGACTTGGACTATGTACGGATGGGACTCCTGACAATGTTATTTCTAGAATCAGTCTTCAGTATTTTGCCTATTGCCCTTTAGCTGGTACTAAAGAAAATCACATCTAAGGGTGTAAATATTGGAGCTTATCCATATTAAAAAAATATGATGTTTTCACGAGCTTAGTAAAAAAACTCTTGGGCAGTAGTGGTATTTAAATTTTTGAAGTAGAGAATACATATTTCAGAAACTCAATTAGGTAAAGAAAAATAATAAGAATTAACAAGAGTTATGGCACAACATTACATGAATTAAGTTAATTAGAATCCTTTTATGCCAGTTGTGTTACATTATTCTGTCTGGAAATACTAGCATAGTCAAGCATTTATCCAATTTTTTCCGTCTTGTCTGTTTCCTTTTAGGGGTCCAACAGCTACGTTTTTTTGTTATTATCCCTATCTAAGAGGTTTAATATTTTAGGCGTCAAAAGTTCTTTGGCTTTCACCCAGAAGTGGTGTTTGATGTTTTGTCACTGATCACATGTTTTTTGTTGTTACAGATAATTTTATCTCAAGAGAAGAACATTCAAAAACTTAATGAGCTTGTTCAAAGCCTACAGCAGCAATTGCTGCAATGCCGAGAAATAAAAAACACGGTAAATATCTCTTGAAATTCTTTGGATGCAAGTGTTAATGAGAACAAAAGGCAACATCGCCTGGAAGATTAATGAAGCCTTCACTGTTGTACTGTCTATAGTTTGTAAATGAGTTGGACTGGCTGTGTCTACCTTAAAGAATCACTACGCCTTGATTATAGCCGAAAGGATGTTACTCACCTGAAAATACTAGAAGGAAATGTGTTTTTTTTAATAGTTTGCTTGAATTCTGCTAGTACAATCTTTCATGCCATAAAAAATTTCCTGAGTAATTTGTCACAGCTCACTGTTTGAGCCAATATAAATGTGTGTTAAATAGTGGCAGAGTTTATTGAGTCACAAAAGAACTTTGAAATGGTTATCTGTTTAATGAACTATTTGGGACCTATCAGGTAGTAGCAGACAGTTGTGAAGTTTAGGGGTTGTTTGACTGAGAAATCAGGTTTTGGAATTCTGACAAATTCAGACTTCTTCAAAATCCCAAACTTTCCAGTTTCTTTTTCTTTTTCTTTTTTTCTTTTTTGGCTGGATGGAAAGTCATTGTTAAGGCAATTCATTGATTTACTTGGCTGTCTAGATGGAGAGAGCTCGTTAGAGAGAGTACAGAAGGCTATCTTTTATTGAATGAATGGAAATAGTTCAATTAAATTTACTGATTTTAGCACTAAAGATGATTGTGGTTTGCTCTATAGCAAAGGGAATATAAATAATGGGTACTGAGTACAAGCTCATGTATTTTGTTTTAATTCGTGTAAAGAGCTCGGAACATGAAGCTGCTTTTGCAGATTAAAAGGTGGTGATGTGACTTGATGGATTTTATTTCTTACTTAGAAGGTGTGACTGCCTTGTTCTCTTCTTTGGAGGTTTCTCTTTTTAATTAAAACTTGTGCTATTTCTTTTGCCGACACTCTCTGTATCTTTGTGCTTACATTTCACCAATATTAATGCTTAAAGGAAGACATATTATGATGAGATACACTTCTGAATTCAGGGTGATTCCTTGTTTTTGCTATGCGATACTTATTCTGTGTTCTGGTCATGAATTTCTTCTGTTTGTGGTTTGTTTTTGAAAATGTAAACTCAGTAAGTAGAGGCAAAGTTTAAACTTAAAATAGAGACTCCATTAACTTCAATGGTTTGACGCAAGAAAGACCTTTTTAATAGAATGTAATGTTCTTGACCTGCTTCCCCTCACCCCCACCCACAAAAAAAGAGAAAATAAAAGAAAAACCCACCACCACCACCACCACCACTACCACCACCCTCCTCTTTTGGAGTAAAAACCATAGCATGATGTAAGAAAGATTTTAGTCCCAGACCTCCCGTGCATCACCTCAAGAGGATCTGTCATTGTGCTATAATGGGACATCACTTGTGCATGTATTGACATATCTACTTTCACGGCTTATTTGAGTTGATATATTTGGGATTCTTCTAGCTTCGGATATTTAATTATCAGAGGGAAGCCCTAGTCTCATGTTGTGCTTAAAAGGCAATGAGAATACTAGAATTTATTCCCCTTCCCTACTGCTTGAGAGTCTAGGCTTATGGCCTCAGCAACAGTTTGCTGCCATTTAGAATGATGAAAGCAGATCATGAAGCTCTCATCAAGTTCATGGTAACTGTCTTGTATCCGTCCAATCCATAATTGGCGTTAAAAGTAATTTTTGTATTTAAACATCATTTTAACCTCTGTTCATATGATGTTTAACCTTATAATTCTACCTTGACTATATTAAGAACCCTTCTCTCTTGCTATTCAATGAATGCCAGAAGTTCAGTTTGTTGATAATTTGCATCGTGATACTTCCAGATGTTACTTATTTCATCATGGTATTCAGCTTTTGCACCATTCTTTGTGCTTGACATGCTCAGTACCAGGTAGGCAGCTCTGTAGCATGGGAATACCTGAGTACCAGATATCATCTCATGTAGGGTAGTTGACCTAAGAAGTACCCGTCATTCTATATATGTTCATTGCAAATGATAAGACTTCGTCGTTTTGCTACCTCTAAGAGTCGACAGACTTTTTTCCTTTTTTTTCCTTTTTTCATTACTATTTTTTTTTTAAAAAAATTTAGATCTTCATATCATATCAAATGATCAACAATTTGAAGTAGTCACATATGATTTTGCGGCACAACTGCCATAGTGAGATGAATGGAAATCACATTGCTAGCATTCAACTATATTCTTCAAAGTAGTGTTTCCTTCTATTTACCTTCAAAACATCCTTTGCGAACGGTTCTTACAGAATGATGACCTCATAAAGAAAAATAGGAGAAAGCATCTTCTATATCAGTAACCACCTGCTGATCCACTTCACATTTTCATGTTCTCCCAAGTTTAGTAGGCTACGTCCTTTAGATCTGTGATGCATGGACATCAACATTAGGATATTAAAGAGCAGTGACTTGACTCCCTTTATAGATCTCGCTAGTAATCAGTTTCATAGAGTACCTGAAGAAGCTGTACCTGTACACATGAGTAGGCTTAGTTTGGACGCATAGTTCGTGAAACACTGATGTATTTTACATTAAAAATGAATCTGGAGTTTGTATATATACAAACTCAGGCGCCCATAGATTTACGACTCACTAACTTCGATCCTATTTTCCTGTGGAAATGGATATCATTTTTCCACTTGCAGACAAATGAACAAGCGACAATGCCTTTGTTATTCACCTTTGGAAAGGCTCTATGCTTTTGGATGAGCTTGAGCAACATGATGTGCTTACACTTTTTGTTTAAGGAGTAGCAGACAGTCAGCAACTATGGTGCTAGAATCTTTTCTTTTTTTAGCATCCTTGGCATACGTGGATGGCACGGCTGATTTGAGACCGTTTTAGATGTCCCTTTCAAAAACTTCGATGGTCAGAGGAAATCAAGATTATTAGTTAGTGGCTTGAAAGCTCTGATGCAGATGTTTTCCCTTCTAGGGGAACAATGGTGAAAGTATGCGACCTTCATCAATTGTGTGGTTGCTTGTGANACAGCTGTGTAAAGCTGGAGGTAGTTGAAGGTGGGATCAATCTGAAAGTCTATAAATAAATACCTTTAACTGAGTGCCTGCTTGTTAAATTCACATCAGAAAGTGTACTTCTATGACATGAATGTTACACATGTTTCAATAGGAACGAAGGAGTTGTCTAATTCCTGTTAGATGGTGAGGTTACTTGCCTCAGACATGCATAACGCAGTTTCTTTCGGGGTCTATTCCCGTTGGTATTATACTATATACATATTCTTTAACATACTGGGATCTGAAGATTACTTTTTTAGCTATCTTTTTATTAATTAAGCAATGCTTACACCGCTGAATTTAAATGTGTATTATGGTTTACAATTATTGAATTACCTTCCCATTGCTGTGAACACCGTCAAGACGTGAAACAATCTGTTCGCATAATTCTCGCCTGTACTCAGCGACAATGGCATGAAGTCTTTGTTTCTGGTGGACAAATGTAACTTGGGTATTCCCAGCAGTACTACGATTTTTGTGGAACTGCGTGTTTTCTTTCACTAGTTATAGTCCTCCATGTAAGAATCAAATAGTGAATCGAACTTTTAAATGCTGAATCTTGCCTTTGAATAATACATGTATTTTCTTTCCTTTGGATCTGAATATGCTCAATTCTCTTTTTTTTTTTTTTCCTTCTGGTCTTCGTAATTGTGATGCTTAAGAGCGTGGAGAGGTTCTCGCCATCATGTGTGCACGATAGTGGGAGGTGGCTCGAGGTAAGTGACTGTACGCTTGCCGGTTATCCTTATAGCAAATAAAGTGAGTCTTGGTCTTGAAACTGTTTTCTATTTGCTTATGATGTTTGAAGTTATGCGTGCTTTTGAACACCTAATCGTAGCTTGTAAGTTTAGCATAGTTGCAAATGATCTAGTTTCTCAATTTCATGCAATACCCAAGTTACGTTTTTGCATTTTGAAACTATACCAATGTTGGTCACAGCAACTATATATTCCAGGTGAGCGCCGATGAAAGGCCACAAACTATAAGCTGATGTTATCTTCTGTTATAAATGCAAGATCGGCGGTATCTTCTTCTCTGTCTTTCTATCTCCTGTAGCATTCGGTGAGATGCCTAATACATCTCCAGGAGGTACGCGACTGTTTATGCCATTAATGTTCTGTTTTCTGCTCTGCGTGCTGATACTCTTACCATCCATCTCATTTATACCAAAATTAATTAAGGACGGCTTGTTTATTACGTGCAATTTCCTCTTATTTCTATGGTGCGGGTGAGTCCCTTCTGTGCTGTTGCATTTTAATTCTAATAAATGGCATCATTGATTTACATGTACCCAACAGATAAATGTTGCTGTTTACGCAAACGTACCAGCTTAGCTCAGTGGCATAACAGCGTGCGTCATTTCTTGACACGAAAACTTCGGTTGCATGCTGAGACGAGTTCGTAGGAGCTAGTTCTTGTAAATTTTACATCGTCACACCTCATAAATTTAGGTAGAAAACCAAGAGGAAATGCATTATTAACACGGCTTCTGTACTAAGAGAAATTGATGGGCATTGAAAGGAGACGTAGGAAGTTGGGGCGCAATATTATTTACGCATAGTAGCGATGGCCCATAGATAAAAGCAGAGCAGAGGAAGGCATCTCTTTTGCTTTAAAACACCACCACCACCACCACCACCTCCTCCTCCCCCTCCTTTATCACCCATAAAGATTGAAATGAAAGGAGACTCTTGAATGAAAATCTTAAATGGACTTGGTTGGCATCGACTACTGCTCTCTTTCATTATAATCAGGTGTTGATGACTTGACGCTGCTCGTATCAAGGTAACTGCTCACATTGATAGTGGAAGCTGCTTGTTTAATGAGTCCAGAGAGACTTGGGCCAGTGTCCATTTACTTGGCTGAGTTTAGGGTTGTAGTCCCTTAAATGGGAAGATATCAACTTGGTTGAATTTAGTGTTGCGCTCACATTTCCTCTCCCCCCTTCTCTCTCTCTCTTTTCATCTTATTAATGAATATCAGTGGCATTAAGATCCCAACCAAACAGTCCAGCATCGAGTTTGGGGGCAAGGATTCTCAATGAGCTGAGCAGATTTTTACTACTTGTACTAATATGGGGTCATATTTTCTTCCCAATATATAAATGATCTTGGAAGTTCAACATTGTTAATGTGTTTGCTTTTAGGGGTCTAAAATTTGAAGCCACTTATTATTATTACTGTTTTTCTATGGAGTGTCCATGAGCACTCTATAAGAGAGGAGAGAGAGAGAGAAATGAATTATGCACAGAAATTAATGCAAATCAGGGGAGCCCATGAGCTATTCATTTTTCTCTATCTTTCACCTCTATTATTATTGTTGTTGTTGTTTTAAGGACCTATGATTCCCATTAACGCAAAATAAAAATTAATGAGGGTAAATACATAGAGGAGGTGTGGTTAACAATTTTGGTTGTGAATGACGATTATTGTAGGCGTCAAAAAAAAATGTTGAGAGATATCCAAACACAGCTCAAAAGGAAGTCATCCAAAATGTCAAAAAAGAACACAAGTATAGACCGTCTCGCGTGCGAGATAGTCTTTATTGTCTCCCGGGCGAGACAGACTTTTACTGTCTCGCCCACGCGAGACAGTCTTCACTGTCTCGCCCACGTCATTTTGAGCACTTCAGAGCAATCCAGAGCAGAGAGAGAGCAGAGTTCTTGAGCTTCTAGCAATTCCTTGAGATTCGATCTTTGACTTGATCTTAAGAAGAACGACTATCTTACTTTGATAGGATATCGTTTTAAATTCTCACTTCGATAAACGAAGGAAGAATCATTAAACCCCTCACGATTCAATCAGAATCTGTGATTTGGTGGTCCACGAGTCAAAGCGCTCCCGGTACAGGCAAAGATCCCACGCAAGCAGTGATCCAAACAACGATCCTGCGTTTGTTTCTCAAGAGTTGTAATTTTTTCTTTTGTTGTGTAAAAGGAGTCTTATAAAAAGGCTATCTCTTTTTTTTAAATTTATTGTAATCGACCGAAGATATAATGAATTCCATGACAAAGTCAACTTTTGACGCAAACAAGCTGGCGACCATAGTGGGAGCCAACGGTCTCGCTGCCGAGACCGTCGTGTCGCAGCCGATCAAGATTCCAGTTAAATCCATGGTCGAATACGAATTCGACCAAACCAAGTTTGAGGAATATCTCTCATCATCCTCTTCAAGATCTTCATTGTCTCGCAAGTACAAGAGGATCTCACCATTGAAGAAGACTTCCATGCCAAAGAAGGCACAGAATGAAGACTCTCGCCTGATTGTTGCTGAGGATTCTACTCACAACCTCTCTGCTCATAATGGCTCTTCGTCAAGTAAAGAGTCATTAAATCAAAGCCCACCGGCATTGACGAAAAGAGCTCGTCGGAGACAACGCCAACGCCGTGCTCGCCAAATAGGTAAGGCGTTGGAACAAACCGACGGGGTTCGTTATCACGCGGACCTATAGTCAAGGAGACATCGATTGGTTCAGTTGTCTCAACAACCAATCACTCATATCTCTGCTAAAATAACGATGGATGAATGGACTTTTGTCAAGAGGGCTCGATCGACCCTCAAAGAACGTATACAAAAACGTCGTGCAAACGCTGCTCATGCCCGTGCTCTCTTACAACAAAGACGAGAAAGGAGGAAGGAAACGGTGACCAAAGAACCACCGAAACTCTGCTAAGTTTGGATTCCAAAGTCTGGACTTATGCAAAATCAGCATTCGGATCCCGTTAAGACTCCATACCCGCAATGGGGTGGTTTTAAACGTGCGACTCCCGACATAACCTTGGATCGCTCAAAGACAGAAATAAATTGTCCTGCGCATTCACCAAATGATATCGTCATACCTGGGAGGTCATGCCAACAGACGATACGATTTTTTGGCAATCATACCGATGAATCGTATTATCAAGTTGGGGTTGTGAATAATTTTCGAAAGAGAGTTATTCGAGAAATAAACTCTCATTGTTCCTGTGCGCGACTCGTTAAAGCAGCATTATCAGAATGTGACTGTTTCAAACGAGAAGCCATCCCACGAAGAGTCTCTGTATTGTCGAAGCCTAAGCCGAGACATTTCCGCAAAAGAAAATCAGCTGCCCATGAATTCCCTGAAGTCACCATCAACGTGGCTGATAAAAGAAAGTCTAAGCGGCATTCAAGTGACTCAAATCCTGACTTTTCCCCGAAAGGAAAAGTCAATCCAAGAATTGCTCAAAGGACGTCTCGACTCCAATTAGGAGTCATCAGACGCAGAGATTACAAAAGAATGCAAGAAGGAATGTCCTCGGAGGATGAATTCTCGGACACTTGTTCTGCAATCGTTTCTGACGATACAATGTCTAGCATGGGACAAACCAGAGAAGTACTCACGATCACCTCTGATCAATTTGCTCAAATGCTTCAAGAAGCTCTAACGAAGCAACGTGAAGAAATTAGAGCCGAGATGAAGACAGAGATGGAGTTAGCTATTCAACAAATGAGAGAGTTGCTAACTCAACAACCTCAACCTCCTGAGTCCAGTCAGCGAGCTGAATCCAGCCACCACACTCAGAATGTTGTAGATGACAGTGATCCAGAAGTGGATGAAGTCATTATGACTGATACACCTCCCAATGACAATAACACTGGGGGTGGTTCAACAGATCCTCCCAATAACAACATTGGGAGTGGTTCAATTGCAACGCTTAGTAACACTGGGGGTGGTCCAATTATTTCTGCTCGACATCACTCAAAGAGAGATGAATATGATGATAAGAAAATGCAAGAGCTTGAAAACAAAATCAACGCTTTGATGACGGCTCAAGAAGTAAAAAAGATAGGTATTCCATGTCCCTATCCAAGAGAATGGGATTCAATACCGTACCCGTCAAAATCCAATCTGATTAACTTCACACCGTTTAACGGGAAGAGCGCGCCTACTCAACACTTGATTTATTTCAAGTCTCATTTGGGCATGATCTCTGGAAATGAGGCTTTAATGGTCCGGTCATTCGTTGACACTTTTCGTGGGCCCGCCTTCGATTGGTACCGACGGCTCAAGCCAGGGAGCATCAATTGCTGGGATGACATGGAAAGTTTGTTCCTCAGTAATTTCTTCGATGATGACACCGAAGTGTCGATCGGAACCCTTCTAGATGAGAAGCAAAAAGACGGAGAGTCAGTTGATAATTTTGTCAAGCGCTTCCGTAACAAAGCAATGAATTGCAGAGATCCTGTTACAGAAGAGTTCATCCTGCAAACATGCCATAATAATCTCCCCATCGATGTCCTGGAAGCCCTGGGGGTCGTACCATCCAAAACTTGGAAAGAGTTAAAATTACGTGGCGAACAAGCTGAACACTTTCTTAAAAGAAAGAAAGCTGAGAAAAGCCAACCGACAACATCTACAATCGCTGTGAACGCGACTCTCGATCCGAGGTTCCAAAAGGAGTATTCTTTCCAAGATGATGAAGCTCCAGCCATATTGGAATACCTCCTCGCCAATGATAAAATCGAGCTACCGCCTATTAAAGATCAGGAGGGTGCTAAGATGATTACAGATCCAAACTACTGTGCATACCACAGAAGGATTCTTCATCCCACCAATATTTGCTTTGGACTCAAAAATAAGATCCAAACATTAATTGACTCCGGCGTCATAATGGCGAAACAAGCCAAATAAAGACGACACTATACTCCATAGGATACACGAGTATAAACTGTTTTCCCCTGACTCCGATGAGTATACGAGTATAAATTGCTTTTCCATCTCACTCCGAAAAGTATACGAGTATAAACTGCTCATTAATACTCCAACAGGTATATGAGTCTAAACTATTTCCTTTCCTTCACGGGAAGTTCCTGAAGAATGTCATGCATGGTACTTTTAAGGATAACCCGATCATACAGCTAAACATGATGATAAACCCAGCTTCGCAAGAAAAGCTGGGGGTGGATGCTTCATGTAACGGGAAGTTCTCGGAAGAATGCTATATGTAATTTTCTTAGGGATAACCCGATCATTACAAACAAAGTGATAAACACTACATCCCCACGGTGATTTACGAATACTCTTTTGCTGAGGTGAGATTCGATCACTTCGTTGGATCAATCTTCCCTCACAAAATTCTCTCATGGTCAAACCTTTAAACAGTTAGGACCAAAGCCAAAACCCCCTCTCGATTCTTTCCATGAACGAGAAGTCCACAAATCGAATGATCAAATCTTTAAACAGTCAGGATCGCCTCAAAACTCCCACTTGGTCAAACCTTAACCAAAATCCCCTTTCGATTCATTTCATGAACGAGAGGTCTACTTTTGAATTGAATAATCAAACCCTATAACAGTCAGGATTATTCAAACCAGTCCAGATCCTTTAAGTGGAGATCCCACTTTGAGTTTCTTTTGCACCAGGAGATAGGATATAAAATTCTTCCTCTCCATCACCGGGTTCATCTCTACCAACAAACAAGAGACCAGGAGGTAGGATATAAAATTCTTCCTCTTCATCATCGGGTTCATCTCTACCAACAAACAAGAGACCAGGAGATAGAATATAAAATTCTTCCTCTCCATCATCGGGTTCATCTCTACCAACAAACAAGAGACCAGGAGATAGGATATAAAATTCTTCCTCTCCATCATCGGGTTCATCTCTACCAACAAACAAGAGACCAGGAGATAGAATATAAAATTCTTCCTCTCCATCATCGGGTTCATCTCTACCAACAAAAAAGAGACCCGACTTCCTCCCAACGGGTATATGAGGTTAAACTATTTCCCGAATACTCCAATAGGTATACGAGTCTAAACTATTTCCCTAATCTCAACAGGAAGTTTCTAGAGAATATCACTCAGAATATTCTTAAGAATAACCTGAATACTCCAATAGGTACACGAGTTTAAACTGTTTCCCTACGCCCACGCCCAACAGGAAGTTTCTGAAGAATATTAATCTGAATATTCTTGAGGATAACCTAATGAGCTCTCGATGGATATATCAATTCAGTGATAAAAGCTGAACCCACAAGAGCAAATACCAACTTCAATTCAAGACTTCGACAACGGCCACGCGATAAGCGCAGCACCGCAAAAATTCTAGCTATTCTACAAAGCACTGAATAGGCTAGAAGATGAAGAAGTCAAAAGTTGAAGTCATTTATGGATCCTTCCGTACGATCTACTCAATCAAGCATTGAAGGG